AGCAGGCCAAGGAACAGGTTGGTGAAGAAATCTGTAATGTGTTAGTTTTCTTAATTACAGCACTGTATTAGTGCTGCTCTGGACAAAGATACATTATCTAGTTATTGCTCAATGTCAGTGATAATGAAAGATTAAAGGTTAGGCTACTGAGGCAAATAAAAGTTACCATCTCTTTCTGCAAGGACTTATCTAGAAGTTCGAAGTTTTCAATTGAAAATCAACACAAATTGCCAGTTGCCAGATGTTAGGTTATTTGCTAGGATGGTGTTATTATGAACATTATTTTAATGATTTTTTTATGTAGGCTGTGGTTGCCGCCAAGCCCGAAGTGCCCCCACCTGCTCCCCACGAAGACTGGAATGAGACTGTGGAGCCTGTGGCTTCCTGGGCCGAAGAAGCGCCCGCACCCGCGCCTGCCGCTGCCACCACTTTCGGTGCACCCGCCGCTCAAGAAGACTGGGCAGCTCAGGTAGTTATATTTATGACAAATTACACAAAAGCCCTTTCAATTTACATGACCTTCCTGTGTGCTCCCAAGGTGACATCATACCATTTATAAAATCTAATCGAATTCGTATTTGTACGACACGGGAGTTGATGAATGTATAGTCTGTCTTTTTTGAAGGAGTAAGTAACCGTTCATTGCGCAAAAGTGTTGCCCACTTGCAAGCAGTGATTGCAGTCGATAATATCGACTAACGACTGAATGTTGGTTACGCTTAAGCATTAAATAGCTGAACTTGTTTCGTTTAAATCTTCATCGGCCCGTTATTCGCACAACTGCTGAACACAGGTTCATTTGAATTATCAATTTTTGTCAAGTTCATACACTACATATGCAAAGAGGAGACATATTCTCAAGTTTTTAATTTTAATTTAATATAGATAATTCAAATCCGCCTGTCCTTATTAAAATGTATATGAATAAAAGTTGACTTCAATACTGGTATGCCAACCGTCAATATAAGAATAAAGAAGGCAATAACGGAATTAGTTCTCATTAGAACGTCGTAACATTTACAATTCCGACATTTTTGCCAAAATTTTACTTTCTTTCACAATCTACCGTTATAACTGTCGATAACAACTACATGACTATTTAAAATTTTGTTGGTTTACTCCGTCTTCAAAAGACACTACATTTTTCTATTTATATCCTTCATCCCATATGGTATAATTAATGAAATTTGTATTCCCAGGTTCAAGACGAGTGGGGTACCGCCGCTGCAGCTGCGCCCGCGCCGGCCGCGCCTGCTACTGCTACTCCATCGTGGGGAGGCTCCGCCCAGGACTGGACTACCTCGTAAACGTCGCGTTTGCTTCGGTTAATATAACACTAAAATCGATTACTTTGTTTCATTTGTAGAGGTGACTGGACATCTTAGTTATTACAAAATATTGGGCATTGTAGTGTGTAGTGTATGCGGCTTGACATACCTACACACTGTATTGTGTGTCCATGTGTGGCTACACCCAGACAGTACAACGAGAGCGGTTGGCGAGAGTGGATGGGGTGTTACGCCATGCATGTCATTGCTGTGTCAGTGTTTTCAGGGACAAGCAAAAGAACACATTATTATGCACTGTGAAAGTTAGTAATGAATTAGGCACATTTAGTAAATAATCATGTTTATTTTGTAGCAATTTATGATGATTTGAATTTTAACACGTAGGACATTTCACAAGACCTAAAACTGGTCAAATTCATTTTCATAAAAATGTACTCTATAAATGCAGGTATATTTCGCATTGCCCTGGTTTGATAGTACCCTGAAGATAAGTTTTTTTAAAGGGACTTGTTTGTATAAAGAATAGTAGTACTGCTTTGCGGCACCGTGGTGTTTGTATTCATTTTGTACTGCAGTTACCCATGTTTCATTGGGTAAGATACCCTGAAAATAAAAGTAAGATAATTAATTACTAACGAAATAACGTTGATTTTTATGCACCTATGAAAGAAATAGGAAATTACATTGGTATACCTGTCTAATTAGTTTTAGTACATAAAGAGCAGAAATACATAATTATAGTACATGGCACTTGTCTTATTTTATATTCGTATTATAATCTTGATAAAACGTATAGACCATTGCACATTAAGCAGAACAAAAAGGGGAGAATTAAAGTATTTAATAATGTTCCTATTTATAAAATTATAAATAAGAATTAGACAAAGTAGCAGTTAAAATAACATCGTCTTAGTTCAGTCTTCCACAACGATTTTGTGCCAAAGCAGAAGCAGCAAAATTGAATAATTATAACAGTTTATCACTGACTAAATAAAATTTTAATAAATAAAAAACCTTTCGACAAACGTGCCAAATAGGAAATGAAAACAAATGAATGAAAAAAATGACTGTCGAAATTTTAAATTAGATCCTGAAATAACAAAGTAAAATAACCGATCTGTGAAAAAACTGCGTTATTTTGGAGATTTTACTACTGGCATACTAAGTGTGCCAGTGTGGGCATAATTTAGAAATATTCAAAGTAATTTTGTCTTACATAAAGTATGAAATGCTTAGGTGCACTGAGAGCGGTGTCAGGACGAACGTGTTCCACGCTGAAGGCTTGGATTCGCAGTATATGTGGCAGATGGAATACGACTTCCCCGTGCGAACCGCTATAAACGAAAAATGCTGTACTGTAGCCTGTCAAAGATCACTAGAAAAAGTAGCGTTGGACAGTACTTGTCAGCACTCTTAGTCACTGCGTCCACATTGTGCGTTTGTTTTATATGGAGTGCTGTCAGCACGCAGCGCTTGAGTAATAAGCGCCTAAAAGTATTATAGTGCATTTGTTTAGAGACACTTAACTAAATGTAAACAATCTTGGTACATCTTTTTATTGAAACATACTTTACAAATCAAAAGGTATAAAAATAGGCATGCAATTTCATACGAAGCTAAGTATTTATATTTTGTATTTGAAGGTAAGTAAAAATCATTTTTTAAATGTATATTTCATTAAATATACATCTCAAGACTGTTTACATTTAGTTAAGTACCTAAACAAATGGACCTTATAGGGTTCTATTTTTTTTTTAGTTTGACAGAAACTTTTTTATAGGTGTAGAGAGAGACTGATATTCCTGACGTAATTATTTTAAATAGTTTTTATTATAGGAAATGAAACAATTTTCAGACAGACCCATTCAGTCTCGTGACCGTGGGACTTGTAAAGGGCCCGAAACGTTGGTTCGTTGGAAAAGACAAATATACGCGATCCCGAAAAACAATGTTTCATTTCCTATGTGTAAGAATTGCAAAAACTCGTGAACTCTAGTATTTATTACTTCGTAATTAGATGGTCTTGAATTTCTAAGTAGGTATAAATAGGGATATTTGATGACTACATACACTTATAGATAAAATTAAGTGGAAACTATAATAATTATTCAATTGAATAAGTAAGACTTTTACCTGAAAGGCCAACAATCGGCAGGCATTGGTTTCCTTAATGCGAGTATTACATCTGGCGGCGGCGCGACGCGCCACAGTGGCACTACGCCCCACAGGGCTACACGACCTCCAAACTCTTCAGTATCAAGGCCTTTTGTCGCGCTAACCCCATGGATGTAGCTTCTGTCTGTATTTTGCGAGACTAGAATATGAAGAAAGTTTTATACCAAGGCGGATGCTTCCCACGAATCTAATTATACAAAGTTTATCATTCGTATTCAATAAGCGTAATTTACACCCGAGCTCGGTATGAAAACCGTATAGGTCATGAAACAAAGAAATATAATACCGAAAACAGCGATTGAAAATTCATGATATGCCTTTCTACAGTTGGAAACAGTGGATATTTCGCGGGATAATCACTTGATTATCCCTACCCCTACTTAGGGCTTTGTCTGCTTGATGTTATATATTTAGGTAGACGGTAGACGTCGCAGATTGTTATTTATACTTTGTAAAGGTGAGTCTGAGGAAATGATTTGATTTGCACATCTTTTTCTTTTATAGTATCAAGTGACGGGACGAACAGGTCGTGCGCCTGATGGTAAGCGACACGCCTGTTCATAACAGTTGCAGTGCTACTCAGCGCTTTAAGTCACAAAGATCTGAGGGGTACTGCCACTGCGCCCGTCACGCTGAGAAGTTGACAAGTCTCATGTGCCTGTAACTTCACCAACACCTTTACTCTTCATAACCGGAACTCAGTAATGCTGACATTACTGCTTGGCGGCAGAAATAGGTAATCGTCTTCTGCTGATTTAGAGTATTTCCGCAGGAGCACTACCGTCTCTTGACCAGGTATCTGTAGTATATGTTGCTTAGGTTCTTAACTTATTACGGCATATAGGTTAACCTATCATCGTTAACGATTATTTTGCACTTTGATTAGATCCTTTAATTTGTTTATAAGGATTTTTAGTATAAATTAAAAAACGGGTTTAAATGGTAACATTAAAAGTCCAACAAAACGTTTTAAACAGCAGCAGCGTGCCGATCGTTGTAAAAATCATATAACCAAAGTTCCTCTTTTTAACCGACTTTAAAAAAAGGAGGAGGTTCTCAATTCTACTGTATTTTTTTTGTACGTATGTTTCGCGATAACTCCGGAATTTGTGAACCGATTGTGACAATTCTTTTTTGTTGGAAAGAGTAGTAGTGGTCCAATTTAAATTTGAAGAAAATATTCCACCTCTAAGGGTGGCAAACTAGGGGATGGATCCGGTTTCGAGCACGTTCCGGTAACCGATTGTTTACTTTTTAATTTGAGTTGCAAAGTTTGAAGTCGGTTCCTTTTTTGAAAAATAATCATTCTATATTATACGGTATTATGGTTTTATTTTTAGCCTTGAAATGAGAACATTTATGTTGATTTGAAAAATTAAAATATAAAAGTTCAATGTAGTACCTATTACTTTTTTTTCGCACCCTCTCCGGTAACCGCTTTCAATAAAACTTTGCAAATAGACGTATTCCACGAACTTTGGAGGTCGGTTCTTTTAGTACCTACTCTGTACTGAAATTATTATTAATTCATAATTTGTGACTTAAAATGTCAGTTGAAAAAGTAAACAAAATATCCATTAGCACAGCGGAGAACATTGTGCGCAAACGTGTGTCTTGTGTTGGATACATCCAGCACAAACGTGAATACGCGCAATCCCTGAACGCCGCACGTAATATTTTTCACCGACTTTAAAAAAGGAGGAGGTTTTTCAAATCGACTGTTTTTTTGTGTGTATATTACGCGATTACTCCGACATTTGTGAACAGATTTGATATTCTTTTTTTGTAGAAAAGATGTACCTCAGTAGTGGTGTCATTCAAATTTGAAGTAAATATTTCCGAGTTTTCGATCTTTGTATTAATAATTATAACAAACTAGTGGAGTAATTTCACAAAAAATAATTGAATATCAATTCAATAAAAATTTAATTAATACAGTGAATAGCGACATCTCTCGCCAGGACTGGTAGCTGTAAAGGTACTAACTGGGTGATAAATCTGTCATAGATTTCTCATAGATGGCGCTACGACTAAAAAGTCGTTGAAAGACCAACTACAAAGACACGACGCAAGCACATAGAAAAATTCGTGAGGTCCGTTGGTTCGTTCCGTGGCTTAGTTGGTATAGCGTCTGGCACGGTATGCAAGAAGACGTCGGTTCGAATCCGACCGGATCGAAGGAATTTTTTCTGAGTGTTCGATCTTTGTATTAATAATTAAATATTTCTACCTTTGAAAATGGTAAATTAGGGGATGAATCCGGTTCATTCAATTTCACCCACAGTCGTTTAACCGATTTCAATAAAACTTGGCTTCTAGATGTAATTCTAATGAAAATAATATGTTATGGTGACCTAGAGCTGGTCTGATGATGTAAATGGTAGACATATGAGAAGAATTCCTCAACAGTGTACAGATAAGATAAGATTTTAAGGTCGGTTTTTAATATTTTGAGTCACTCAGCCCCGTACTAGGGAAACCCTGTATTGCGAGTGCACTTTGACAACTACAAATTACACCCAAATTCATGGGATAAATAAATGTAGGCCATACAAATATTTCTCCCAGCCCAGGAATCGAACCCGGGACCTCTGCGTGGCAGACTAGCATGGTAACCGTTCGGCCACGGAGCAGTATTAAAAAAATATGATTATATTTCTATGGAAGAGTTTATGATATAGCTATTTAATAGCTGTAGAGCTCTTCGTGAAAGAGTTCGTCTGGGGAAGTACTGCCACCTTACAACAGGTAATTTTATTTCCGTCGTTAAACAGTAATGTCAGCATTACTGTGTTCCGTTAAGGAGGATAAGGGTGCTTGCTGGTGAAGTTACAGGCACATGGGACTTGTCAACTTATGTTTCAGAGTGACTGGCGCAGTGGTAGCATCCCTCAGATCTTTGCGATTTAAAGCTCTGAGTGGCACTACAACTGTTATGGACAGGCGTGTAGCTTATCATCAGGCGTACGACTTGTTCGTCCCGTCACTTGTTATATATTAAAAAAATGCAAATTTAGTCAAATAGCTTGCATTATTTTATTAAAATGCGACTATGTGTGATATCGGGAGTGCCTACTTTACAACAATTTATTCATTTTTAATGTGACCATTATGACACGATTATGAATAAAGATCATTTATTCAAGCCCTTTGACAGTTTCTTCCTATATGTTAGCTTAAAATGAACTGCAGGAAAACCACTCATTGCAATCACTCATCCGGTCAGCACCGTCGACGCGGTTATCACGATCTAGCCTTTCTCTCACGCTATGACAAGCGTATCTGCCACTTGCCTGCCCCTGAACAATGCTCTAGTTTAATGTTTTTCTCGGCAGTGTCGTCAACCAGACTCTAGTGGCCTCGAGTGTGGCAAATGTATGAAAATATGAATCTTTTTCTCAACAGTGTGATTTTCTATTTTTAATAATATCAAGTGACGGGACGAACAATTCGTGCGCCTGGTGGTAAGCGACACGCCTATTCATAACAGTTGCAGTGCCACTCAGAGCTTTAAAACGCAAAAATCTTCGGGGCACTGCTACTGCGCCCGTCACTCTGAGACATACACATGCCTGTAATTTCACCAGCACCCTTAACTTTCCAAACCGTTACGGAATACTCATATTACTGCTTGGCGGCAGAAATAGGCAAGGTGGCAGTACTTCACAAGGAGCTCTACTGTTACTTTTTTGTTGGGGGCTACGTTCATAATAAATACAAAATTAGCTACTTATGGGTTGGAATGGATTTACCTGTTTTGGCGGTTTCTGACGTAATCATAATTGTTCGCCGGAGACGAAGCGCGCTCCTAAAATTAATAATTTCATATATTACGTGCAGAAGTTACTTGAGATTATGCTCGGATTAATTATAGGGAACTGCCAAAAATGCGAGGAATGACGACCACGTTGAGCTATCACTCAGTGATCAACTGATAGCAATGTTTCACTATCACGAAGTCTCGCAATTCCCGGAAGCGCATCCGAGCGACGACGCCTCAAGTAAACTTTTGTGGTTTTTACTTAGAATCCAGTAGAATGGCTACATAAACATGAAGGTACAGTTAGCGTCAACTTTATCCAAACTGTGAAACGAAACAGTCGAAGTGGTAAATTTTATTTGAAAGTACATAGAGCTCAAAATGTCTATACGTTTCACAAACCTGAACGATGCCAATGATTTTTACCTACAGCAATGAAAGTTAACAATATGTGTAGTTTTTATACATGTATTGATGTATTGCAAATGGTTTAGGTGACGTTAAGTTACATAACAGAGTGTGCTTTGTATACGGTAACATAATGTTGAATTTTGATAAAATGCGCTGATATTTTGATCATTCTAAACGTATAAATAAAATTGAATGTGTAAGATGTAATACGATTTTCCTTCTGATTATACTTAAGCAATAGTACCGAAGTGCTTGTTCGGCTCGTAACAATGCCTCCGCTAAATGTTTTATTCTAGAACAACATTCTTCATCAACTGCCGTTTGTTCTAAATCCACTGAAACAAATTCAGAATTTAGATACGAATATGACTTAGGCATATTTAATAACGCTATTATAAATCTTAGCTTCGTCACATTTTATACTACCCCACGGCCTATTAGTATTGATTTATGGTCAGCTTCCTTTGAGCTGATTCAGAATAGGATGATGTATGTAGGTCATACCGTAATCTCATTTCGTGGTTATTAAGAACTTATAAGAATATTTTTTATACACTTATTACATCATACTCGTATATACACACATACATGCTTAAGGTCTTAGTATTTAATTTGATTTACACATATATTTAATATTATTATCGCTTCTCAAGCAAAGGCCGTGGGTTCGAATCTGGGCTCGCACCTCTGAGTTTATCGGAATTTATGTGCGTATAAATTTAATTTGTGATGAGTTTTTCGGTGAAGGAAAACATCGTGATGATACACGCACGTAGAAGAAGGTTCACAACCCTAAAACGTGTGAAGTCCCGAACCCGTGTTGGGTCAGAGTGGCGGACTATGGCCTAAACCGTTGCCTGAGAGGAGACCCGCGCCCATCAGTGGGAGATATAAATGGGTTGATGATGATGTTTGATAAGAATTTGTCATCACATAGACACTTAGATATACATCATCATGCCTTTTTGCCACTGGGGTAGGCCGAGAGTGCGGATTTCCATTTCAATAATAATAATTTACTAAACAACCATATCAATTACTTGGTTTCGAACTAGAGAAATCATTTGAATACGAAATAAACTGCGGTGTACTCAGAACACCCAGACTAAAACCAATTTAGAAAAGTGCGGATGGCAAATTGATTCTATCGGGAATCGAAGCCTATTTATGTGTATAATATGTAATTGCTACACCCTTATATTTATACTTACGAAGTGATATTAAAGTATTTCGTGGAATTGTCTTCGCCATTAAACTTGTTTCGGGAATTTTATTAAATATCCAAAGATACACTGGAATAATATAAACTGGAAAAGTACATTTTGAATACCTAGACATTACAAGTATATTTTTAAATTATTATATAACGTCTTTCTCTTAGAATGTATGTCTTTACAAATAGGTAAGTGTATTATATAACTTTACTACGTACTCTTATCATTACTTGGTAGACGAAAAAGGTATTAATCCACCATTGCATTAAATTCTCCTATGGCGTTTTGTAGGTACTTAAAGCAGAAAACTGATAAAATGTCAGTTTGTATGTCGCATTGTTTCAAACAAGACAAATGTTTCATTTTAAAATACTAACTTATCACTCCAACAGCGCTAAACAACAGAGGGAGGCAAATCACAATTTTTCCCCGTCTTTTGTTCTTGGCCGGTGTTTGTTTACAACACACCCTGCCATTCTTTCTTTTGTAGAACTTTGTCTTATCTTCGTACAGATATTCCCAGATGTTTTCGCGTAAAGGATACGAGGATCGTGTTTCCCACGTCGGCGTCGCAACTTTTCTGGATTTCTTCTTTTCGTAAACTTTAGCTGGGAAAATACCAAGTGAATCTGTGACTCGTGTTATTTACATATTGCTTGTTTAAATAAGTGGTAGCATGTAGCATGGTGAGTAATTACTAATTAACTTGGTTAAATTATAATTTGTATTACATAGCCTAATCAGATAACTATTATAGATTGTATCTAATTCTATTCTAGCACGTTCACTGTGCGTGAATGTTCTACATTTTGCGGTGCTCACGCAACGTGGGTGTACCACGTAATAGGGCACTATTTTACACGCAGTTATAGGCTTGTAAAGCTTTGCACTTCGAAAGTTAACATTTCGCGTAGACTGCCTGTCGCACCCACAAAAATAAAGTCTGTGTGAAGAAAGTGTCTTTAAAAAATATTTTTTTGTATATTTGATTGATTCCCTTGCAAAGTACAAAATCATGAAATTTATACTTGACCTCATTGGACTGACTTATTTACTGTTGTTTGTTACTTTTTGTCAATTGATCCAGTGGGGGTTTATAAATTAAATATAATAAATATAGCTACTACTGTATTTGCTCATATATGTATTTATAACGTTCTAGCAGTAGAACTCCTCGTGAAAAGAGTACGTCTAAGGAAGCACTGCCGCCTATTTCTGTCACCAAGCAGTAATGAGCTTATTGCGTTCCGATTTTGAAGGGTATTAGTGGAACTACTGTCAAAAGGGAATTGTAAACTTTGTTTCAGGGTGGCGGGTGCAGTGGCAGTGACCATGACATTTTTCTTTTTTTTTTTAAATTAAACGGAGTTGCTCTTGACCACTACTTTGCTCTGGAGCAAAGATAGGATCTACGATGGAACATGCCTATTCAGTCGCACCTTAAAGAACTTTGCGATTTGAAGTTCTGACAATTGATAATCATTAAAAAAAAGTTTCTTATAATGAGAGAGCCTAGTTTGCTACGCGTCTAGACTAATACGAGTTAAGGAGTATGCGTGGACGGTTTAAATTCTAATTGCGCTAGCAATTGACTAATGAGATAGCTACGCTATTTAAAATATATTTCAGTTAACATAGTTCATTTGATATTTGTGCAAAAGGGTCATTATTCACGGCGTGACAGGTGGTAGCATGCTCCAATTGCATTATGCAAGCTTCGGTTTTTGGGTCGCGCGAATTAGGGACAGGGTAGCGCATAAATCTAATAATATAATTTCTGATTTGATAAACCTGATTGGAGCCGCTTATAGGAATAGCTTTCCTGCCCGATGTGTCTCTAGACGGACTTCTAACTTGTATTTAAATAAATTTTACACTTCACTAAACCTGGTGATAGTAATATTACATAAGTTTATTGAATAACCACGATGTTTTTTATTTTTATATTCAATTATTTTTTGTAGTAATGTACTACACTAGTTTGTTATAATTAATAACAAAGATAGAACACAAAGAAAAATTAATTTGATACAGTCCATTCGGACTCGAAGTAGCGCTTTCACACCGTGGTTGACGCTCTTCCAACTGAGCAATGCAATGAACCTACTGATTTTAGCAGAGGTCTCTGTGAAAAAGTTCGTTCAGGGAAGTACTACCACCTTAGCTATTTCTACCGCCAAGCAGTAATGTGAGCGTTTCGGTTTCGAAGGGTATGGGTGCTGGCGAAATTACAAGCACGTAGGACTTGTCAACTTGTGTCTCAGGGTGCAGTGTCGGTACTCCTCAGATCTTTGTGATTTAAAGCTCTGAGTGGTACTGCAACTTTGCACACACACTCACTTATGTAAATACTCTCTTTGAAACAGAATCTAGTATAATATAAATTATTAATTATAATTTCTTAGGTTTACTCATGATATGAAATAGGAGCATAAATAGGTGGCAGTACTTCCCTAGACGAACTCTTTCTCAAGGCTCCTCCTCTACAGCTATTAAAACAATATCAACGTTCCTGAATCTTCGTTTGGCAGTGTGTAGGCCTAGTTTGAACGGACCAAACTCGTAAACAAGAAGAGAGCGTATAGAGAACCCTGTGTTGCGGGTGCCATGAACACACACATAGAATACCACAAATTACAACCAAACTCATGAAAGAAATAAACGTAGGTCATACAAATATTTTACTCGACCCGGGAATTGAATCCTGGACTTCTGCGTGGCAGACCAGTATGGTAACCGTTCGACTTCGGAGGCAGTTATATAATAATGGAGTGGTAATGATAACTAGAGACTGTATTATTATTTATTAGTTACAACCCTACTTATAATGAATAATACTGCCTGCATGTGACCATAGCACACAGACGTACAGCACTATGAATAAATCCTAGGTTGTTTATTGAATGCGATGCCAAACAAACTAATTGTAGGTCGCCAGACCAACTGCTGACTGCGCGGACGTTAATATGCTTCATCAGAGTAAATAAATAAACCAGAAAGGATATTTTTACGTGCTATTTATTCGGTCAAATTACTGATGCAAATTATGAAACATTTATAATTATAAATGTTTAATTAAATTTAACAATGAATTTAAGTGTCTGCTAAAAGCAATATTTCTTGGGTTGGGGTAAAATTCACTTTGTCCTTGTAGGTAAATCACGTAATTAACATAGTGTTCATAGCTAACCATATTCACGACACCATAGGATTATGTTTTGAAAATACCAACGACGTGCCAGTCGTTCCCAAAACTGTAATAAGTTAATAATAATCTTGTTATTAATTGCAGATTCCGGGATCAGTTTATACCAAAGTTATTTGTCAAAGTTTGCAGCTTGTAATTCTTCGCCTGGTCTATGAGGTACAGTGGCGCTTCATTTTAGATATTTTATCATGTGATGATACTATAATAATATTAAAGGTAAATGTATTATATACGTTTAAGGAAGAAAATAAGATATTAAATTTGACAGAAAATACATTAACGATCAACAGAGCACCAGTTAAATTTAGAAAGCGGTGCAACTCATCCGTTTCTATCAACAAGAAAGGAAAAGATTTTTTTCTTCATAAGGACTACTTTATTTACTTCTAATGGAGGACCAGCGTTGCCAGATATTTTTATATATAACAGATAGGTTATATTTCTTACAGTTTTCGTAACTTTTGACCCTGTCGCCGATGTGATTTTTTAATTCAAGCAGTATTTGTTGTTTTATATACCAAATAGTTTACTAACGCACCTAAATTACAATAAAGTAACTCAGAGATTGCACAAACAAAATTAAATTAAAACAAATCTTAGAGCTTATTTTTTCTTGAGACTATGAGTACTTTTTTTTACTTAAATTTTTATTGAATATGATATTCAATTATTTTTTGTGAAATTACTCCACTAGTTTGTTATAATTATTAATACAAAGATCGAACACTCAGAAAAAAACACTCAGAAAAAATTCCTTCGATCCGGTCGGATTCGAACCGACGTCTTCTTGCGTACCGTGCCAGACGCTATACCAACTAAGCCACGGAACGAACCAACGGACCTCACGAATTTTTCTATGTGCTTGCGTCGTGTCTTTGTACTTGGTTTTTTTTTCAACGACTTTTTAGTCGTAGCGCCATCTATGAGAAATCTTTGACAGATTTATCACCCAGTTAGTACCTTTACAGCTACCAGTCCTGGCGAGAGATGTCGCTATTCACTGTATTAATTAAATTTTTATTGAATTGATATTCAATTATTTTTTGTGAAATTACTCCACTAGTTTGTTATAATTATTACTTTTAATATATATATATATATATATATATGTTTTACAGTTATTTACACCTTTTACAGTTAGAAATTTTGATGAAAAAAAACAAAAATGTAACTTTAATTAGTAATAAGGAATTAATTTTTACTTTAAGTAAATGTAATACGTTTTGAGTTTCTTTTTTATTTTTTGCCTTATTGTTCTATAGCAAGCCAATGCTGATTAAATAAATACAATAGAATTTTTAGAAATGTGGCAAATGAAATAAAAATAATGGCAGGTTTTAGTCGTCAAGTTTTTATTTGTTATTTTTAGTATATGTATAATATACTCAAAACGTAACATAATATTTATTATTAATTTTTTTTATGCTGTTGGCTCTACAGCTAATGCTCAATAAATAAATAATAATTTTTAAAAATAGCGTTACTTCAGAGATATGTTGCTTACCCATAGAGCACCAAGGTGGTGCAACAATATTTTTCTGCGGTTTAGATAAATCGCTAACATCACAACTCTCGCAAGCTCTTCTGTACGAACTTCTAGTTAACATTACCATGTTTACGATAAATAAGTTACTTCACGTTGAAAATAACAGTATGGACAAATCATACACCATGAGAAAAACCAACTTGAATTATAGAATTTTTTTCGGCACAAATTGATGTCAACGCGTGTTTAATTTTCCCTCCTCCTCTTATTTTATCCTCGTCGTGTAGGTCACGGCAAAGACTTTTAGGTGTTCAGTCTAATCTCTAAATTGATGTAGTAGTGTTGATGAACTAAATTCTTATGAAAGTTGTTTTTCAAATTAGTCTCGTTATTAATATATGTTTAAATTACATAAAAAAGTAGAAGAATATTTTTAATCGCTAGTTCTAATGGCTTTTTAAAAAAAATTTTTTACAGAAAGATTTACTAGTCGTTTTCTTAATTAGGTGTCCTATCTGTGGTCTGACTTTTTTTGTGGTTTCTGAAATTTTTAATAAATATACCTATGTAGGTATGTAAATAGTTAAGTACTTGTTTGTGCTTAAGTAATTAATACTTTCTTGTCACAGAAACAATCAAATCAATGCGAAATATTTGAATTAAACACACTTTCTTTGTGCTCCTGCTCCAAATCAATGCTCTCAATGACCGCGGTACCGTTACTCTAAATTAAGCTGTGAAAATTATTTTGTTCCCGCATTGACTTTTTGAAATTAGAATTTCATGGCAGAGGTATTAAATGAAATGAAATATTTGAAGCGGAACAGTTCGTTTGCCATGTTCGCCACTTTCGTTGTATTTTTTGTCGCGTCTCAGGCTGGTGCTCAGGAGCAAGCTCTGAGCACAATACCCCCGTTGCCCTCACCTTCTTTCCCCTTCATGGACCTGTTCACGGGTGCCTCAAATTACTACCCAGACGTACGAAAAACGTACTCTGAGCCTTATAACTCGTGTCCCAAAAGTGATACACTCGGTTCATTTGCAAACATCTTAGGAAGTGCGGCTAAAATTATGATGTCCACTGCACTAATAGTGTTCCTGAAGTTATTAGGAGGAAAACTGTTGCTGTTCCCTCTAACGGTCATGTTATTTGCCAAAATGGGATTGAAAGCGCTTCTACTGTGGCCTATGATATCGAAAATGGTTAAATATTTTAAGAAAAAATCGAACAAACATCATAAATCAAGATCGATAACAGATTGTTCAGATAGAATAGCGTGTGTGATGCAGAGAGCAACACGGATCGGATGGAGCAGCAATTTAGGAGCAGCCGCAACTTTTTCATTAATTGACGACGTCGAGGAAGACAGCTCCTTTGCCAAACTTCTATTAACAATTTTGGCTGGCGACAAAGTAGCAAAATGTATGTCAGTAGAGTGTACTTCCGGAGTGAATATAAGTTGACAAGTTGTTTACGTTTGCTCGCGCGTATGTAGGCCACTACAACCTTGTTACAGAAATATGTAAAACGCCAGCATGCAATTTGATGTTTCGATAAGCTTATAAATAAGCATACATTTCTTTTGATCAGTACTTAGTCATGATGGATTTACGTGTAACACCATTAGTGCTCTTGTTAACGTGTTCGCATATGACATGTGCGCCCGGGGATCCAGTGATGTTCCTGCCGCCGTTAGAAGTGCGATCATTAGACGCAAACGCTAGATCAATATTCCCGTTGATGAATCAACAGTTTTCTAGTGCTAGTACGCCGTTTCAGCCAATGAACCAAGACTTGACGCCGATGCCGCAGCACAGGCAGCAGATTTTTCACACCAATCCTGCCCTAATAGAGCAACAGACTCCAACGACAGAAGCTGAACCCGTGGAAAAAGAACCAGCGACCAGACACCACAACTTCACTATCAGTGAGTTCATGGAAGCTTTGAATGGTGTTGCGGATCACAACGAAGAAGGCCATGAGTCCCGAGCTGCTAGCAGGGACTATGAGTATCCTTCATCACCGTATCCGTTATCATCGTATCGACCACCTGGACCGTTTGGGAATTCGTATTATCCGAGACCGTCCAATTATGGCCCACCAATTTCAAACTATAACTCACCAACTTCTGGTTATGGTCCACCATCTGGCTACGGACTACCTTCTCCAGGTTATAATAGTCCACCACCATCGTATCAACCACCAGCTGCCTATGTACCACCTACAACTGTTCATCACACGAAAGTGTTAAAACCAGAGCTCGATATTTTGAAACCAGTGAAAACTAAAATAGCCAGCAAAGTGAGTGGCTTAATCGGTTTAGTGCTTACGCTTCTTACAGGATCAGCGCCCGACGACTTGGAACTGAAAGGGTTTAAAGATATCGTCATTAATGGAATAGTCAAACCGCTCTTGGTAGCGAAAGGTGGTATTAAATCTCTGATTAGTAAATTGGCAATACCGGTAATATCGCTGCTGTTGATAAACCTGGAAGTTCTCATAACGATATGGTGGCTCTGGGAGGAGTGTCCGGCACAAGAACATCCTGCTCCTTACGTGTATCCCTACCCAAAACCACAACAGTATTAATATTCTTAGTAAACCAGTGTATTTATCTTTGGTACTGAATTTATTTGTAAATCCAATATATTATTAGTTATAAGAGTATTATTTTGTAAGAGTGACTGAACAATTTTCAATAAATTCTTAATAAAATTTTGTATTAAACGTCGTATTGTATGATTTTTCCATAAATAATCAGTTATCAGAAATATCTTCAAATAGCAACAAAAAATCTAGTCTCTTTAGTAGCTTAGTTTCATATAACAGAAAATAAAAAGGAAGTTCTTAAATGGTAATGAGAAAATACTTGAAAAGGTTTAACTAGTTTCAAATGCTATTGTTGCAGTAGTTTGTTTTGGATAAAGATCTTTGCGAAATATGCCATCAAACTGAACAAGATGAGTGCATAAAGAGTGAGTATGTAATAAGATTAGGAAACAGGTGTCTTTATTCGTTAAGCGTAGTGCGTCGCCACGTCCTATTACCTTAATCGCGTAAAGGAGAATAAAGGACTGGGAGTGTAGGGAGTATGTATAGGTATACATATACATATTTTCAGAAAACTAAAAGTCCATGTAAACTAGTAAGTTTGTAACATGACACATCTTATAACTATATTATTTAGTCTTGTATTTACTACAGTGTTTAGTAGCAGTAGAGCTCCTTGAAAAAGAGTTTGTCCAGGGAAGTACTCATTTCTGCCACCAAGCAGTAATGCGAGAATTATTCCGTTCCGGTTTAATGGGGTGCTGGTGAAATTACAGGCACATGGGTCTTGTCAACTTACGTCTCAGGGTGACAGGCGCAGTGGCAGTGCCCCTTACATTTGCTATTTAAAGCTCTGAGTGGCGCTGCACCTGCTGTGGATTGACGTGTCGCTTACAACCAGGCGCACGACTTACTTGTCTCGTCACTTGTTATATAATAATAATAATAATAATAGTAATATACTATAGAGTATTTGACTCGGGTTGAAGGGTTAGAAGAACATTTCACAATCAAAGTGCAAGTACATTTATATTTACAAATAGCTTAATTAATATTCATGTAAGTAATATTCATTGACGTTTTAATTGAATCGCTTAACCCAGTGTCGTGTTCATGAATAACTCATAATTCATTAGAAGCTTTGACTTGAAATATTACTTAGAATTTTCCCTTATAAGAATTTATTAATTCTTGGCGTAGATTTCCTCGAAATTTGTAACTCTGTAACAAAAACATAGATGTATCACGACGTGTCAGCATAATTCGTGCTGTATATATTTTCTTATGATACCAAGTGACAGAACGAACAACTCATGCGCCAAGCGAGACGCCTATCCATAGCAGTTGCAGTACCACTCAGATCTTTAAATCGCAAAAATCTGAGAGGCTTTGCCACTGCGCCCGTCATTCTGAGACATAAGTTGACGAACCAAGTTTTAAGTGCATGTGATTTCACCAGAATCCTTACTATTCAAAACCGAAACGCAATAATGCTCACATTACTGCTTGGTTGCAGAAATAGGTAAGGTGGCAGTACATTCCTGGAAGGACTCTTTCACAAAGAGCTCTACTTCTACTAAAATACTGCTGCTATGAGTTTTCTAAAATATTATGAGGTAATGTTACTGTGTATGTCAGGGAAAATTAAATTTGTCGTAGGATTTTTTAACTGCCCAGGCTTAGTCCTGCAGGCTTGTGAAATCTACATAACTTAATTTTTTTGATAATTGTATTGGAATAATAATAATAATAACGCACACACTCAACATAGCCTCGCACTAGGGAAACCCTGTGTCGCGGGTGCCATGGACACACACATAGACAACCACAAATTCAAACTCACGAGAGAAATAAATGTAGATCATACAAATATTTCGCCCGGCCCGGGAATCGAACCTGGGACCTCTGCGTGGCAGTCCGGCATGGTAACCGTTCGGCCACTGAGGCAGTTAGGAATATAAATACTTCCCAATTTCAATTTCTGTCCAACATGTTCCGAGATAGTCAACATTTAAATATGAATAATTCACAATTATACCTACACGCTCCGATAAAATCAAATGCAAAATATAAGGGGTTAAACATTGACTTACAAATAAATGGACGACGGGTCTAATACAAAAACCACGAAAAAAATGTCCCAAGTCAACCTATTCGAAATTTAAATTGTTATGTCATCGCAGTATCGCGCTGTCCGTAGAACAAATGAAGACTAAAGCGGAGTGTCGCGCTCTGTATACGATTTTAGCGCCTTACAAGTGCGGACACTTTTTAGCGCGGACCCGACGTCCATATAATTGTAAGTCAATGGGGTTAAATTAAAAATTTGCGCAACTACCTGCCCCTAGATGTAGTCTTCCAGAAACTTATTCCTCACTGTAACAAAACGTGGTTTAAACCTTAACCTTGACTAAGGTTCAATGTTTACTACATTACAGAGGAGTTAAAGTACTGTTGGGTAATTTTACGAAAAATTTTCAATAGTGGATATTTTTGGTAAAAATTCCTGAAAAATTGGAAAAACTTGAAAAATGGAAAAAATAAAATTCCGAAGGCTCATATTATGTTCGAAGTTTAGAAATATCTTTTGAAGTTTTATTTAGCATGAATTATAAAACAAACTTGTATAGCTAAAAGCCACATACGTAAAAACGAGATTTAAAATGATTTCACAGCAGCGAAAAAAAACCTTTATAATGGCACCTTCGTTTTCGTTCAACTTTTGACAGGAGTCAACGTCAAATTTCGCAAATCAAAAGAAAAATATCAAAACGATGCCTAACTTTCTTTTACTAAACGATTTTATTTTTTATTTCCAGCTAAATAAAACTTCCTAAAATGTTTCCAAAAGAAAGAAAATAACATGAGCCCTCAAATTATATTTTTGTAATATCATTAAAATATATATATATTTAAATAACAAAGTCAAAGTCAAAGTCAAAGTCAAAGATGATTTATTCCATAGGTAAAATAAATTTACACTTGAAAACGTCACATTTAAGGTACTGCTCGTTCACTACGCTGACCTCCCTGAGAAGAACGAGCAAGAAACTCTAGGGATTGCTCTTTTCAAATAAACTTAAATGCTATGGAATACACTTTGAATCAAATTTGTGTGGATTCTGGAGCCATGTCGTCTTTCCATACATCTTTATCTAACACGTAGTCTTCAATTTTGTAATATGATTTTTCGATCAAAATATTTTTAATGTAGTTTTTAAACTTAGGAAATGATAAACTTAATATATGCTCCGGAATCTTATTGTAAAAACGTATACAGTTCCCCATAAAAGAGTTGTTTACCTTGGTTAAACGAAATCGTGGTACCATGAGTTTGGACTTAGCTCTAAGGTTAATATTATGGATATCTTCTTTCTTATTGAAATTATGTATATTTTTACGGGCATATAAAATATTTGAGTAAATGTACTGTGATGCCACAGTCATGATACCAGTCTCCTTAAACTTTTCTCTGAGAGATACCCGAGAGCCTACCGTCACTGTGCATAATAACCGCCTAAGTATTTTAATCTATCTCACCACCGCACTACATGTCTTTCAACACTGACGTTGGCAAAATCGTCGCGCAAAACGACGGAGCCATAGATACAAAAGTTGAAGTGAAGTTGGGAAAAATATACGGAAAAATATGATTTTTCAAAATTGATTTTTTTTCAATAACGCAACACTAGGTAAAAGTTAATGTGCACAACCTACATACGTCCGTCTTTCAACTCAACGTGTGTCCTAAGTGGAGAGGTAATTAAGCTATTTTTCAAATGCCGATCGGTGATTCATCATATGTCGTCGAAAAGTTTCATGAATCTGCTCTGTCACGGAAGTTTTCCTATAAGTGATAAGTAGGTCGCCACCCAGAGTTACAATTTCTAGAGAAGGTATATATAAGTATAAAAAAAACTCTATTAAGATTCTCATCACATTCGTAGGTATGAGAAAGTAACTACCTTACTTTATGTTGTACCATCTTCTGAAATTGTCAGAGTTATATCTTAAGAATATTGTCTAAGTGCATTAAGGCAGCTGCAACACACCAGAGCTGACTGTGCTACATAATGTGAAAGCACACTTATCTTTTGCACGTCTTTGGAACTGTAAAAATGTAATAGTAACTATTTATCATAATAGATTGTGTATTCTGGTAAAGTACTTTTTTTTATGATGCCATGTGACGAGAAGAACAAGCCGTACGGCTGTTGATAAGCGACACGCCTGTTCATAGCAGTTGCAGTGCAGCTCGGAGCTTAAATTACAAAGATCTGAAAGGCACTGCCACTGTGCCTGTCACCTTGAGATATACATTGACGAGTCCCATGTGGCTGCAATTTCACCAGCACCCATACTCTTCAAAACCGGAACGCAGTAGTGCTCATATTACTGCTTTGCACAAGGAATTTTACTACTAAAGATGCAGTGTTACTGTCATGAAATAATAATACCTTAATGTTTTTGTGAGAATGATACTTTGTATAGAGACAATTTTCCTCCGTGCATGTAGCACATAAAAAATAAAATAAATACTAGGTCTGCTACTATTATTTGTAACAACAACTACATAAGTATTATTATGTAGATACATATGTATATAGAAATGTTGATGCAACATAACAACATACTTGAAAATGACGTGTGCTCCCGCGGTATTCAGATTGTAACGGGCTATATTGTTAAGTAGACACACAGTAAATTTTCGCCTCTCAGACAAATGTGGAAAACATCAAGAAAGATTTGTAGTAACACGCATTAACCTTCTTTTCCGAGACGTATGGTTGTCGACCGATGTACATTATGTTTATGTCTACTTTACTGTAATTGTAGCTATGTATTTAAGTGTTTCTTTAGAATTGTTTTCTTGCGGGCAGTATATGTAGGACAAAGCAATATATTTATAAGAAAAATGCTGGTTAATACGAAAATATATATTCTAGAAACTCGACGGAAACAAACTCTTAACTCTCACAAGCTTCTTGTTAAATACTTATTAAAGAGCCGATTTAATACAGTAACGATCTCAGAGTAAGATTTGAGTGTGACCTCGTCCTAATTCCATTACGCAGCTATTATAATACGTTCCAAGATTTGCGGGTCATTAAAGGGCTACTGGGACCTCTCCTAGTGCCCTGGTTATGACCGTAGTATTTTTTATGTAGCTCAATTGAATATGTATCTTATCCCGTGTGATGATTAACCTAGTTTCCCGTAGTCGTTCCAGCGAGCATTTCTCATTTGAGATGTCAATGCGTGTTATCCGTAACATGTGCTGAATAATACATAACCCGTTTGCATGACAAGTAAGGCGTCAAGGTATGGGAGTCGTGCGAGTGAATTGTACGGGTCACGACTATTCCAAAGGTGAGGGTAGTGTGTAGACAATTCTTCTTTATACCTAAACGCAATATTTGTGTCAAGGTAAATATATTTAATCCATGTGTTTCCATCAACAATAGAGAAATAATTCACTTTCGTGAGTTCTTCAATCTCTTATAAAAACATCGCACTAAACGGATTTAAAAACAATACAAATTCCTTGTCATTCCGTGGTTATATATACGTCCAAAGTCAATTTACTAATAAATATGAATCACTTTTACCTTACATAATGTTTCTGTCGCCGTCATTACGTACATCCTCGTTGTGTAGGGACATATTTGTCAAAGTAGTAGCTGGAGTAGAATGAAAGTTCTACATACCTACAAATAAAAAGAGTGTTCTGGATCTCTCTTTTATAAGTAGAAAAAAAGATTTTTTTTACTTGACGGATATGCTGCTCGCTTGATTGATATGCTTTTAGGTATAATGTGTTTGTATTACATCATCCTCTTTGCATCGTGATGTTTTGTCAAAGTAGTACTTGGAGTAGAGTAGGAGTAGCTGGTATTACCTATATGTAAAAAAACGTAGAATTATTTTTATACGTTGAGAACATTTTTTTATTTGATAGATACGCTGTTCGCTTGATGAATATACTTTTAGGTATAATGTGTTGGTACTGTATCATCTTCTTTGTATATATAGGGATGGTTTGCGGAAATAGTAGCTGGTGTAGCATAGAAGTAGCTGGTACTACATAAACACAGGTAAAAAGAACGTTGTAGATCTCTTTTAGATTTTTAATTAATTATGCTTGCTAAGATACGTCAAAAATACAAATATTTAGGTTGATAAATTTAGAAACAACGAGGGTGTGACAGATAGCGTCAGACAGACCGACGTGACAAACCTAAATTCTGTATTTATTTCCCTAAAACAACTTTTAAAATGTAGACAGCAGGAAATTGTTTGTAGAATAAAATCATTTAGTGTTTGTCAAAATATTCGGAGCCAGTTGTACTAAATGCAATGGATGTAGGTACATGTGTAAAGCCGTAGCAGCAGCAGCGTTTGGTAAAGTAAATTGTTTAAAATTCGTGCGAAGCTAGCCTTCCAACGATCATTTAACGAGCGAAAATAAGTCTCCGTATACATAACGTAACGTTTACAGGGTATAGAACATCTTATCCCAGCTCGTACAAAGAAAGCGTCACAACTATAACGCAACTATGTCGTTATACGTCAAGTATGTATGATGCTACATTTTTAGACAGCATGGGCTTTATTTGAGCGTAGTCGCGAACAACCTATAGTTACTAGATTAAGTTTTATAATATGATCAATAAACAGTTTACAAAAATCAATGTCTTCCTTATATTGGTTTTAACTTCACTAAAAGCACGCATGAGAATCACTTAACAAATAAAACCGAAGTATAAAACCTACGCGCACATATGCTACTTCTATAAGTATACTAGCAAAACAAAAATTAAAATTTTACCAGCTGCCCCTATGTGTTATTTATAAGCTTATGTACGGTATATACGTTATGTGTAAATAGAATGGATATGAATGTCGCTATTAAGTTGAGTGCAGCCAATTTTTATGGCACGAATGCATCCAATAGATCACAATTTTTTTTATTGTAACTTTCGTTTTGGTGAAAAAAAAAATGGAGTCCGTTTATAAATTGCTTTTGTTCTGTGATTCATGACGTTGATGGTTTTTTATACAGAGTGACCCAAAAATTCCACGACAGAGTGACACTGTGGATAGGCGAGTTTTTATATACCCACCAGAAAAAAATAAATTGACCTTAATAAAACTCTTGATTTTTGAGATATTGGAGTTTTTTAATTTTTGGAAAAACTCTACTTTTTGTTGGGTTTTATGCTATTATTGCCAGGGGTAACTCCAAATGGTTGTTGTTTTTATTTTTCGGGGATTCTGAATAGTTTTTCCAGGTACTGCAACTAATATTTTACTGAAAAATATAAAATGTAAAAAAGGTATTAATTGGGTATACCTCGAATCCTTGTAAAAAATGCCAATTACTCAAAATCAAAAGAGTTTTACCAAGGTCAAATTATTTTTTCTGGAAGCTATAGAGCTCACCTACCCACAGGGTCGCTCTGTCGTGGTATTTTTGGGACACCCCATATATCCCATTGATAGAAATAAAAAGCTTAGTTCCATGGCCACTTTGATACTACGAGTATAAGATTTCACAGAAAAGTACCTCTCAACTCAGGACATTACTTCAATAAAAGATTCCACAGAAATTATATGTTCCAACATAACATCGTAAGTGATTTAAATCATCTCGGCATGTATTTGGAAGTTAATCGTGTAGAATAAATTACTTACCTAGTCTAAGTGAAGGGGAGAAAATTAGTCCATATATTAAATGGAGCGATCGTTTCCTGTGATAATATCTAACTATACATTCGTAATCTTGTCATTCCACTCTTACGAATAAAATGTGAATACTTTTATAAGGGTAAAGCTTACTGCACGATTTGTATTTAGGACCATTTAAGTAAAAATGGGATCAAATAAGGGTTTGTGTGAACAGGACACCTAAAATCAACGTGGTGTATATGCAGAGGAGCTTTTCGCAGTAGGGTGTTTTGTATCGGTGGTGGTGTGGAGTGAAGCCAGGCACAGGTAGGGCGGCGCGCGGAGCGGCGCATGGTGGGTGCGCGGGTGGCGTCGATAGCGCAACGGCCTGACGTCGCCGAGGACCGCGCGCCGGCGCACTGCATCTGGCACTCGCGGAGCGCCCCGCGACGCACGTCAGCCTGGTCACCCTCGGCGACGCAACACGCGAGCCCCATCCCGCGGCATCAACATACCATCGATAATAGTGACTGTTAGAAGCTTTTTAGTGAACCTGCCCAAGAGGTATTGGGACTGTTCAGTGCGACGAATCTATGTCGAGTAGAGTGAAAACAAACACATCGCATACAATCGCGCAGGCGCTCCGTTTGCGAACATGACGAGAGCGGCCATCTTGGCCGAGGACGCACTTTCGCCTCGCCCTAGACTCAGAGCCTAGTTTACAAGCCAGAGACCGATTGCGGGAGGATGTGCCGAGGTGAAGGCTTCGCGGCGGGCACAGTTTGAGCCTGCACCGCGTCGGTATTGATCGGGCGGAGCGCCATGGCGCTCGAGTGAATGCGGATATCGGGACCGTGCCGCAGCCCCCGCAAGCCAGCGGAGCGCCTGGCCAGTGATAGTGGTGAAGTGGTCGCGCGGCATGTGAAACAGCGTGCCGACGTTGGGAGGGCGCGCGGGCGGCGGCGGCTGACCGCGCGCCATGGGCGAGGAGTACGCGCGCTCGCCATGCGAGCGCTTCCCGGCGACGGGCGCGTTCAGCGTGGCGCCGCCGGAGCGGCTCAGCCCGCCGCCGCCCGCGCCTCTGCCGGATCGCTTCTCGGCGTCACCGCGTCGGGTGCGCCGGTGTGCGGAGGCCGAGCGCGCGAGGCGCCCGCGCTACGTGCCGCCGGCGGCTCACGTGCCGGTGGAGCGGTACGTGCCGCGGCCTCCAGCGCCTGTGCGCCCGCCGCCGCCGGTCTATTGCTCGTTGGCATGTCGACCGCCGCCGCCTGCGCAGAGGAAATGCTGCGGACCTGCTTGCCGCGACGACATCGGTGGTTCTCCGCCTCCAACTCGTTATGTGGAGTACGTTGGGGCCGCGGCGGCTCGTCGCCTAGCTTGCACTCCGCCGCCGCCGCCTCCGCCCGCGCTACAACTGCCCTGCGAGCCTCAGGAGCCCCCGTGCTGTGTGCAAGCTCGCAGGAGACCGCAGCCTCCGCATGATTGGTGAGTACCACGGCAACAGGCTCGAGAGAATTCCATGGCATATAATTAAAACTGAAATCATTCGGCTAAGCCCACTAAATAATACTCATTAGGGATGAGATTTTTCACAATTCTGTTCTACCTATACTAATGTCAGACACGTAAATCAATTCGCACAATCTACGCATATTACGTGTATGTAACAGATGCTGATAGGGTTTTTAGTGATTTACGATGACGCTGGAAGCTGGGGTGGTATAATTGGTAAATATTTCTCAGGGGGCGAGTGCGGGGAGGGATTGATAACGTGTGATTGATGGCGGTTTCGGCTAACGATCGACGCTTCACGAGCGACTCGCCGCGAACAAGCTGATTCCACTGCAGGCTGTTTAGCATTTGTTATTCTTAGTGCGAGAACAAACATTCCATAAGGGATCTGTTGGCATACACGGTCCCTGGTTCGATTTAATAGTGAACCTAGAATATTAGCATATTTATCACTGAAGGTCGTACTTGCTGATTTTACCGCACGTTAGAGTCGCAAAGGGGCTGTTTATTCGTATGTGATTTCAATCTACAAGTTGTAAAACGACTTTGCAAATACAAAAGTATACAATATAAATGTTTGATGAATTGAATACATTAAAATGGTAGCTTTGAGACGTACAAATGTGGGCAGTCTGGACCGAAACGTGTTTGCCTTATTGCGTCGTATAGGCTTCCAAACACTGTCAGTTGTTTGTTTCCAACATTTTCATTATTTAAGAAGATCAATAATTTTTTAGACTATGAAAATCTTTGGAATTATAACCTATTTTAATACCCTAACTAAAGTAAAAAAGTAAAAAACTTACAATATAGGTATATAATATTCCAACATTTTGACAAATTATAGGTTACTATACTTACACAGGTTTTTTTACTGTATTACTGGTCTACAATGTTCCAAGAATAGAAATACGAATATTACAGGTATACCTATGGAGAACATATGTATATACATATATTTACTCGTATACTCATGGTATTATTTATATTTCCAATATATTCTCTTATCCAAGAATCTCAGCCTAATTAATAATACCGTGGCGATTATTTTTTCTCACTTATTAATACGTATTAACATTGAAATATAAATAACTTTAAGCTAAACTATCAATATTTCTAAATGGCACTAGAATAGACGAAGTAGTTTTCGAGTTATTAAGACACAAATATTTTGTGGAAACGGTAATTGGATCTAAAGTAAAGTTCAAACATTTTTAAGAAAATATAAAAACAAAAATTATGTTTGATTTTGATTTTCTACAATTTTTGTAATGAATTATAATGATATAAAATATTTCTTTAATATATTTTTTAAACTTTTAAGGCAGAAATTATTAAAAAGTTAAATTATTACACAGTCCTTGTAACAATTGTGATTCATCATAAGAAAGAAGTGGAGTAATTGTTAATCGTTACCACTAAACATATATTTAAAAAAAATGTACTTTAATTTTATTTCAAAAAATCTTGAATGGCACTTGTTTTAGTAGAAATAAACAAAATGTAGCAAAATATAGAAATAATAATTCAGCTGTGTCAGAAATAGTAGTTTTTCTTAAAAATGTTTGCATTTTCTAATTACCGAATCCATGGCAATGGCTACGGTAATTAGATTTAATTATCGTTTCCATACAATTATTTGTGTCTTAATAACTGGAAAACTTGTTTGTCTATTCTAATGCCATTTAGACATAATGATAGAAAGCTTTTAAAGTTGTTCATATTTCAATGTTATATATGATAAGCGAGAAAAAATAATGGTTACGGTAATTAGACTGAGAACACTGACTGTGGGAATGTCCAAGATACACAATTACCAACGAATATGTATGTATCACCGTGTATCTAATAGGAATAGGAATATCATGAATCGCAATCGCCTTTGTATCGGGATTCAGTGGCACACTAAAATAGTAAAGTACATTTACATCAACTAAACACAATTTTTTGCACATAAATGTTCTTTTATTACTTGTGCCCATATTAGGTTTGAAATAGAAGCGACTTAGTAACGGAATCATTTGCTTTATCTGTGAAACCTGATAAGATATGAGTGTGTCAATTTCATAACAAAATTAGTGCCATAGTTAGTTTTAGGTATTTGTAACACGTATTCTTGTACATATTCGTATAAAAATATTCATGTACATTTAGTGTGGACAGTGTTTAATTCAATTTCAGTTCCTGACAGACTATTAGTGGAGTGAAAAGTGAAGTTCGGAATGTTTAGAGTGGTTTGCGAGTGACGTCAGGCTTTGTTATGTACCGACGCGCTCACTGTATCCAAGTTTTAGGTTATGCAGAAACATAAGTGAGTCTAACCAAAATTATTAATGCTTGTTCACGTGTTCTAAGTAATGACAATTTAAACACGTAAACTTAAACGTAATGAAAGTTTTATCCCTTAGTTTGCGCTTTCAACTGGGCTGTGTTGGAAATGTAAATATGTCTTAGTTATAAATGGGACGAATATTATTTCGCCAGTGTCGCGGCGGTCTTTTGATCTATTGGTCTAAATTATTTTAATTCATCCTACTTTATCTTAACATTTTATAATTCTTTTCTGTTTATTTTTCCTCTTGTTTATTTTAGAATAAATAATTATTAATATTAAAACAATCACAATGCAATGTGTAACGTAATATACCACTTCAAAATTAATTCAATTTAATGAAATCGTAATAGGGTCGCCACAGGACAGGCTCTGCCTAGTGTGGGACTAATTGTAACCGTGCCTAGTGCTCCTAGCAATGACGTCACGATTGCAATGCATATATATGTTAAAATATAATGTCAATTTAGCATAAGCTTATTTGTTATATTTTTTTTTAATCTTGCCATATTGCTCTTTGTATTTATTGTCAAAAAATAATAGTGTTGATGTCAAATAAACAATTTACCTTTTTTTTTTCCTTAAAATGGACCGGCGTCCAGTGTTGCATATTATGTTGATGATGGGTAGACATTAGATAATTATAAGTTTTGTATAAGAAATGACAGTTGTTTGTTTTGTTCTATGCTATGATAGAATAAAAGCAAGGACTGTGTATTCGCAATCGTCAGATACTTAGTTATGATCCATTTGACACGACCTATTTAGTTTATTTCATATTATTATCATTACTAAATTGTATACATTTTTTCTTCTACTATTTTTATGTTGTTTTTTTTTAAATCTAAGATCTAGCTGTATGGTTTAGACGGCATAGTCTGTCCTGAAAGACTGAAAAATTTTACTACTAATAAAAATAAAGCCTACATTATTAAAACAAGGAAAGATACTAATATACTAGATACTAACTTTTGCCTACCCAAGTAAAAGGGAGAAAATTTATCTCTCTCCTCCACATCATTATTTTTTCTGAAGGTGGGGTTTGCTTTTCTTGTCCTTAACCTCGACTTTGCTCTGTTGAACGTGTTATTTTCTGGAACGTGGCAGCTCCTTACATCTTTGGCGATTTGATCTCTTCACCTCATCTTTTCGTCGTCGTCCATCGTGTTCCTTGTGTTCTGGACTCAGGGTCCTTCAGATCTATCACGGCATTTCCAAATAGTTGGGAGGACTCCTTTTCACGTGTCCAAACCACCACAGCCTATTCTCTTGGAGCTTATCGCGTACACCGAGGCTGCAATGAATATATATTGGATAGTATGTACGTGGCGGTGTGTTATAGTCCAGGTTGCACTCCCGTAAGTAAGCACATGTCTGATGAAGCGACAGTCATAGTATATTTTTCGAAATAATACAAGCAATACGCCAGTCGATTATGAGTTAAAGTGACCGAAGTCGCGGCTTAGGGGAAATTAGTGGTCCTTGTGCGAGGGGCCCCCATGTTCTGTGTGTGTTTTGACTATGATTTGGTACACGTCCAGTGATGGGCAGTGGCTTAAAATCCAATCAACCCGTCGGGGTTTTAACCAGGTTTTTCCCCGAAGTGCTAGATTTTAGCCAATTTCTGCCCAAAGTAGTGGGTGAAGACGCCGAATACGGAATTTGGTATAATTCCATACATATTACAAATTTCGATGTAAAAAACAAAAAAGAGGCAACTCCTGTGTGGAGTATACCCACCTTGTAACCCTGTAAATTCTGATTAATAAGGATGCATATAGATAGATCAATTCAAGTGCATACGATCTAACAATTTTTTGTATCGCTTTATTTCAATGTAATTTTCGAATCGATTCAACAGAAAGACAAGTCGAATTATTTAGATCAGAAAGCAATAAATATAATTAAATTTGAACAAAATTCGATTTACAACAAACATGTAGTTGTAAATAGTTTTTTTTTCGAGTTAATTAAACGTCATATAAAAGCATCGAGTATATAATCAGAAATAGAGACGAAATAAGGGCCATATATTCCTGGTAACACATTAGCGATACAGCTCTTATAAATATCAACTCTCGCTTGCACTGAAATATAGACAGGCCAACTAATGACCTGTGTGTACGTCTCCGTATGTTAAAAAAAATCTGTATTTATTGTAATATAGATAATATTTCTAACAATGCCGTGCTGTTCTATTCGGTGGTGTGGAAAAACAGCAAAACATCTAATTACAAAACAAACGGAATCAAATTTCATCGGTAATTAAATATTAAATAAGTAAGTTTTGCAATTTTCGTCCATTATAGCAAAGCTCAAGTTAACTGGTCGATTTGAAGTGAAACAGTTGACGACACCCGTCAATTGTTTCGAACTCGGGCTAGCCAATCGGAGCGCAGTTGTCACAGTAATGATATGGCAGAATAGTTGTCAAACAAATTAAATGACAATTCGCCTCTACTTCTGGTTATATACTCGATATATAAAAGACACGTTTAGTTTAAAAGCGATGCTGTTGCATGCTCGAAAATGGAGTCCAACTCTATAACCTTAGACGAAGTGGGTAAATGTCGATAACAAATAACGCAATAGATGACACCTTCTTAGTTTTTACTAGTCGTCACAAAATAATTACAAGTTAAACT